CTCCTCTTAAGCAGCGCGATGGGGAAAATATTCATTAACAAGTGGCATAAAATAAATTTGGTGTTCTATATCACATCACAAATTACTTTTTAAACCTAGCTCAGTCTTCTTTAATTCCCTGGACAAAAAAAGTGTTCAAGATTTAAGATGTAGGCATAATGTATTGAAGGTTTAGAATGTTAAAGAAGAAAAATGCAATTATTTTGTTGACTTTACACATATATCAACAGCATGTCAAATCTCCACATTCATGTACACTCTGGCTTACTGAGATGGTTCTGTATCTCTATTTACTTCCTTCCCAGTTTCCTTTATACCATTACTCAGATCAGTGTGGAGGAAACGATGAGAGACATTGCATCATTCAAATCCAGAGACTGCTACCTGTGGAGTGTCAGATAGAACCAGAAATAAAAAACCTTTCAGGTGTTGAGCAGCTTCTTAGTGTGGTTCAAGAAAGTATTGCAAGGGATTTTTCTTGGCACAGCCTGCAGGCTGCATTTCAAAGGCAAGAAAGTCAAGTCAAGGAGAACAGCTACGGGCTCTGCAGTAAGAAGTGCCGGAACCGTGTTCCCATCAGGAGCCCAGAGGAAGGGGAAGGAGCCACAGAAACCTACAGGACCCACTGGCTGATTAGGGAGAAAGAAGAAATGTGGAGTGGCATATGAAGAGTTTATTTCCGCCCACTTAGAATTTGATAAAAATGTGATAAACAGGAAAACATTTTAGGTTGGAAAAATCAGAGAGGGGGTGGGTTTGAGGGTGGGACTGGAGGTATATATTGTACATATTTAGGATTTGTCAAGATAGTGTTGATGGTTGATGATTGACATAATTTCTTACACGTCCACACTTCTCCTAATAAAAATTATCGAATTATCTCAAATGCACAAGAGTTTATTAGCACTGTCCTCCCTTTACTGGTGACACAGACAGTGACTGGTATGGAGGTCATTTCTTTCCTTAGACCACCCTTATACCTTTTTTTTTTTCAAAACTACAAAGTCGATGAAAAATATATTTTGAAGATGACCTTGCCTAAGGTTTTTCTCATTTTTCCAATGAGTTGAAAATTGCTATAATTTAAGAAGGAGGGGAGCAAACAGTCTCTTACCTCCCTGAGCCATGAAAAATGAGTACTTTGTTAAAAAGATAGGAAGCAATTTATGAACACCTAGACGGAGTAATCTCAGTGTCCAGAATTAGTAACAATCTAGGCGAAAATTAGTACTGACCACTCATAAATAAAAGGTTGCTTAAGTTTGGGATCCCCCAACGTATTTTTATTCCCTGAATTTGGAAAGAAGAATTTGAGAGTGTTGTACAAACCACCTTCTCCAACAGTGATTATGGGTGGAAATGCCTAAATTCACCAGAAAGTGAACTTCATCATAGGTTGAGTGAGCTTTCATAAATTCCAATAAGTGGATTATCGTACTGTAGTTCAGTTCTAACAGGCAGTCTGCCCTCTGTACCACCCAACTGCTTCTGCAAAGGGCAAGGGGGTCCTGACTTAGTCCTACTCTCTTTCAAATTGCTTTTCTGTATTAGAGTTTGCTCCAGAGTCCTCTGTTTATCTGCCTCATCTTGTACTTGTAACTGCGGGCTAATGAGTCAAGTTAACATGTATATAGCACTTAATATGTGCTAGACACTGTTGTAAGCACCTTAAATATATTAAATCTTTTAACATTCGTGGTGGCAATATAATGTAAGTGATATTAGTATATTCTTTTTATAGGTGGTTAAACTGATAGAGAATACAGTTAATTTGAGCAAGACCATGTAATCAATAGGTGGTGAACTGAGGCACTAACCAGGGCCACGTGTCTTCAGGATCAGAGTTCTGCCCTGCCCAGTGTGGCTCGGTGGGCTGGGCACTGTCCTGCAAAGTGGAAGGTCGCCAGTCCAATTCCCCGTCAGGGCACATGCCTGGGTTGTGGGTTCGGTCCCCTGGAATGTATATGCCTATATGAGGTGTTAGATTACATTTTTCCTAAAGTGTATAACTTATTTTTATTTTCTCATCTTTGTCAATCATGTAATATTCAAGTTCATTAGACTAGATCAAAATAAACCTTAAGCAAACTTTAGCTCTTTAGGTAATAAGTCAATTGAATTGACTCTTGAAAACAGTGGCCAGTGTACCTATTATTCTTGATATATTATTACACTGGAATAATATTGAAAATAATATTTGATATAAATGCTACTAATTGCAATAATGCAATGGTTAATTAAGCTACAGAGGCATTTGAGCTATTCTTTTATTTATTTACAGATGTATTAGTACACTACTGTCTACATTTACATTCATAATTATAAGAACAACAAATTGCTCTATTCCATTTTCTAAAAAGTGCTCATAATTAACACTATTTGTCCAACTCTTTTGAGTTTTTGTAAGAATTAGCATGATAAAAGCAGGCATAATTTTTTATAGATTTCATGATATTTGTGCTGTTACCTGATAATGATCTTGTTTGGCCTTACCTTTTAACAAAACTATGCTAAATTCTGTGAATTTGTTCAAGGAATTGCATGCTTACTATGTGGCACTTAAAACACAAGATGTATTATTACCTAATCAGAGAAAAGGTGGATCTTTGTGCACTTAGTTCGAATGTTTAAAATATAATAGCAAGTCATTGAACCGTTAGGGATTTAGTAAAGGAATTAAGCTCTTGATTTTTAAGTATATTATAAAAGTACGTGGCATTGAATTATTTATTCAGCTATAAAGGATTTCAGTAATTAAATGCCTTGGATTCCAGGTACATACCTCCTGCCCTCACCCCCTCAGTCAGTTTTACCAAGTTGACTTACGGCTAAGCAACTATGTTATAACTGAGCACAGACACCTTTATCTGCGGAGGGACTCCTTTGCTAACTAACAACAACAAGAGGGCACGCTCCCTAGAAAAACGCACAAGCACCCGAAAGCGTGCGTGCGATGCCGGGGCCCGCGGGCCTGAGGACTCCACCCGCTCCACCACAGAGCATCTCCCCGCAGCTCGGACAACGGTCCCGGCCGCCGCTGCTGCCCAGGAGCAGGGACGCGCCAGGCACTTACAACCGCAGCTGCGGGAGAAGGGAGGCCCGCGCCTAGGCCGAATCCTGGAAGGGCGGGTGTGTTCCCCTCCCCCAACACCCGGTCCCCTTACAACGCCCCGGTGCTGTGACTGCGTCCGCAGTTGCCCTGGGCCACACCCGTCGCCCCCTCCTAGTTTCAGCACCTGCTGGGAGCAGGCGCTGCGCCTGCCGCCCGTTCCCCGCCCCAGCGCTCTTCCCAGGTCACTCCTCGAAGCCGCTGTCCGGAGGCTCTCACTCGGCCCACGCCGCTAGGGTTCCGGCTTCGTAAAGCCTGGCAGCCCCCAAAGGCATCGCCAGGCCCAAGGAGCAGCCCCGGGCAGAGCGGTGCCCGCCGCGACAGCAGGCGCCTTCGGTGAGCCCGGTTCCCGCCTGGAGAAGACAGTGTGCGCGAGTATCCGTTAAGTCTTTCCATGAAGTGGGAATGGATGTTTCTTTCTCAGTGTGCGCACGAAACCTCTATTGTATGATTTTACGAGGTGCTGGGCGAAAAAAATCAATAGCCATATAATAAACACACTTACAACAATGATGTCTTCTATTAGAAAATGCACTTTAAGTTCTTGTTTATATCAATGAAATTGATTTCTGAAAAAAAATCTATTTCTCCTCAGCAACCTCAAGCTAAGTATCTCTAACAATACCTTCACTTACAATACTTTTAAATTAACTAAAACATCTTCTTTCATTCTGGCTTCATTTTTATCTATACAGCATAACTACTATGTGTGTACTTGATTATTCAGCATAACTTAAATCCTACGGTTAGAAATAAACTAACTATAATTGCATAATTTATGTCTACAGAACTCTTTTTCCCAGCCTCATCTACCAGCACTGTTGAAGGTGGGTAGTATTATTTGTGTAACCTTAAGCTAAAGACATTCCAATGTCACCCTTATTCTCTCCTGTACATCATCACAAAAGACATTTCTCGAGCTAATTTTACCTAGCATTCCCAGACACCGAAGTCCTCACTTTTCAATTAACTGAGAAAATATGGCACGCATTAATTTTAATCTCATAAAGCAACACAACAGATTTAATGACTGCTTTTTACAATAATTGTGAAATACTGCAATTGGAAAAAAAAAAAAAACTTTGTATTTTATTTTACTCTTGTTAACTTTGTCCAGGATCACACTGAGCCAACTCTCTGGTCTTTTAGTTTTGCAATGGCTGTTGGCCAAAACAATACATGCTGACCTAAACTGCCAGAGAAATATGGCAAAAAGTCTACTGGTTTGGAAACCACCATCTCTCTCTCCTTAAAAAAAAAACAAAAAAACAAACAAAAAAACCCCTTATTTTCCCTCTCAGCTTTAGTAAATTCAACCTTAATATAGTCACAGGCAAAGGACTTTAGTGAACACATGGAGTTTGCCCATTAACTCTAGATTATGGGGTATCTTGACTTCTAGACACTTATAACCAAAAACATGCATTTAATTCTAAAAGCACTGAGGGAAGACACTTCTTAACACAGGACTTCTTCATCACTTCTGTGTCACTGATCACTTGGAGTCTAACAAAGCCCTTTCTAAGGATAATGTTTTTAAATTAATAAAGTTTGCAGACTTATAAAAAAATCAACGTTATTAAAACAAGATTTTATCCATGAACACTTTGTGAAGAATTCTGTGTATCCCAAGATAAATTTATATAATTTGAATATAAGATACTTCAATTAACAGATGAAGAACCTTGACCCAAAGACCAAGTTAAAAATTTACATCAAGATACACATAATTTTATCTTGAATATATTACATTACTGAAGTCATGAGGGAATGTTAAAATAATTTCAAAACACAATTACTGAAATCAGTGGGACATGCAAATAATTCAAATGACCTTTAGGGACAGGACAAACAACGGCGCCCTTACCTTTAGGGCAAACCCATGTCCTACCTTGATGGCAGTGGACGCGATTTGGATGTGGTGCAGTCTCCGAAGGGTGCTGTCCCTGTCGATGAAGTAGGAGGCCGCGAGCTGGTGCAGCGTCTCCAGAGTGACCGAAGAGCTGTTGGTGCTTGAATCACTTCCTTCAGATCCCCTGCTCAGCTTCCGCTTGTCCACAAAAATTGTGAGGGACTCCTCTCCTGCATTAAATATAGTTTACACGATCCAGTTTACCACTTAAAATCCATTTTAAAAAATTATCTGCAGGTGAGGAGAAATGATAGACATAATGAAACAAAAGAGGGATAAACATCAAAAGGGCAAGGACTTTCACCTTCCTGTCATTTTACGAGTATTTTCCTGGTGCCTAGAAAAGCGCTTGGGAGGTTGACGGCTGTAAATGCATATTTAGTGCCTGTTGAACAGCTGCTTTTGCAGAACAGTGTCCCTAGATTTTATTCCATTTCTGATAGAGGTGAAGTTACCTAACATTCATGTGGCCCAAAAGCAAATTAAGAAACTATGTAAAAATGAACTTAGGCAGGATGCATGACATAAAATTATAATTACGCAGAAATGTTTGCCACAGATCAGCATGACACATATAAACATGACCAAGATATCTTTGTCATTTACTCTTCAGTTATACCCTTAAAATACAGGGCAGACATATAAATGCATCTATATTTATGTAAATATATGTTAAATTCAGAGGTTGCCTGCATAGGGCACATATATATAACTGTAACCGTTTTCTGTGTTCAAATGTTCATCAAAAAACAAAACAAAACGCCAACATCAATTGGGTTTGACAGTAAGAGCTAGCCATCCCCAGACCTCCGCCTTCTCCGCTCCTCATCTAGCACGCGGCCGTCGAACCCAATGTCTGTTCTCTTGTGTCCAGGCATGTGTCTGTCTGGGCGGCATTGTGCCCACTTATAAACCGACACGCCAGTTTTATAAACCAATCAGTGAGGTTTTCTAGTAGAAGAGTAGTCGGCATTTCTTCTCCAAATTAAAATAATACCATTTCAAAATGACACAGTCTGGGTAACTATCCAATCCTGAGTCACAGCCCATGTTTCTCTGCAAGAGGTCAGGTCAGTTGGTATCAGAAATACTGGAAATCAAGCGGACTCGTTAGAGTAGCTGAAGAAAAAGGGAAAAAATCCACCAAAACTATGAATAAGTGGGTCAAATTATTAACAGCATTAGGTTACGTGCTTGATAAATAGCTTTTGATGGGAACACCTCTAAGCAAAAGAGAAGAGAATATATAGGTAAGTTACTGCAGAAACAAACAAAAATCCCCAACTATTATTTCTGCTCAGGAAGAGGGGACCCACTATTGTGGAAATGTGTGTGAAGGTGTCTCAGGAAGACCAGTGAGCCTGAGAAGAATCCATGCATGTGCCAAGTTGTGAGAGAGTACGGACACCAACGCCCTGCACACGGACAGAGAAAGGACAACATGGTGCGATAGTCTAAAGGCCGTTAATTCAGCTCCACGGCACATGCCCAAGTGCGACGGTCTGAATGCTTGCGCCCCCACGCCCTTAAATTCATATGTTGAAATCCTAACCTCCTCAGAGGAGTCCCCTCAAGGATAACAGTCCTAGGAAGTGGAGCCTTGGGAGGTCTTCATAAAAGAGGCTCCAGAGAGATCCTTGCTCCTTCTACATTTTTAGATTAGGATCTAACAGAAAATGAGGAGGTTTTAAGTTTTTATAAGCTAGCATTTCACAGATACTGAATTTTACCACAGGCACCTAAACTTAGAATTGTTTTATAGTATATCTTGTAATCAAGATATATGGGATTGTTATTAAAGACAGCAGTTGGTTATGCCTTCCAATAACCCGATAAAGAGAATCCATTCAGAAGTTGCTCATGGTTCTTCTCTACAGTGGAGGATTAGTTCAGGTCTGTAAGAGTTTTCCCTGCAGTGAAGCATGTGAGGCTATTCGAAATACAATTGTTCATTTATGTTTTATGAATACCTTGTAGAAAGCTTGCCTACAACAGACCACACAACTACATCAAAGTTTTGTAAATCATGCATTGTTAAATAGTTAAGACACTTAAACAAGTCCAATCTAATGGTAAATAAGCTCATTTTTTTCCTAAGAGATCTACTTTTTTCTTTTTAATCATACACAACTATCATGCTTTCGTGATGTTGATGGTCTTCACACTCTTTGAGACTTTTACAGTCAGTCTTAAAGACAGAAAAATGCATTCTCAACTTTACTTGTAAATCTCTCTCAGGCATTCAATTATAAAAGTACATTGAATTATATGTAAATAATACAATATTCAGTTTTGAAAACTTAGATATTATTCAATCAACTAAAAAACTTTTGTTCAAATGTCATTTTTACTCATGTTTTTATGCCAGCTGCAGTTCAAAAGCATGACATGAGTTCCAAAGGACATCTACATGTTTTGGAGAAATAAATGTGATTTTGAAAACTATTCAACATTTTGAGTCTGTTAGAAAGTAAAAAGGATTAAATACTGTGGATATATAAAGATGTGATTATTTCACATAGAAACCCTGTAGCTATGTCTTTTGCAACTAAAATATTGTGGTAGTTTATGGACATTAAATGCACAGAAGGATAATTTCATAGAGAATGAGAAATATGGCACGATAAAACAAAAAACATCATGACTTTAATATTATTCTATGATCAGTTCATAGAAAGGGGGATTAAGTACATGTGTTTTGCTGTGGACCTCATAATTATGTATTTTTCTGCCCTAAATTTTAAATTATATATATTGTATCCATGAGAATATGAAATTAAAGAACCTTCATATTGTTATTTTTTCATTTGGATGTTCTCAATGTGCACTGTCATGTATAAGTTACTGAAGAGAGAGGAAATGATATCAAAAAAGTCAGGAAAAAAAACCAAACCACCATGGATAAGAGAATGAGGAAAAAAACCCTAGGGATGAACCAATGATGATGGTGTGGCAGACTGGATTACTTTTTGCAAGTAGTTTCTGCCCCATCCTGGATGCAAAATTACACGCGGACTACAGGTCTCTGTGGGGAAAGGCTGAGAGTGCACGAATGGTTCCCATCCACGCGGTATTAGAAAGGAAGATGTTCATGTCAGTGGACTATACCCAAACAAGACACGCCATGACCTAGGACAAGTTTTGAGAGTCAGGGCCAAGTGACAACGGTTCTTTTGCTTTTCTCCTCTGCCAGCAGGGCAGCATGTTCCCCAGAGGACCTTCCAGCTTGACTCCCAGAACGAGGAGAATCATAGGGGATCCGCAGGGAGACACATCATTACGGTTACAGTTTCAAGCCACAGAGATTTTTAAAATTGCAATGAAGCCAGCTCTGATAGTTTGGCTGTATGATTTATTTTATTTCACTTATTTATTTCATCATTGCTACTGAGCAAAAAGGAAATGGAACTCACAGACATAGACGACAGTCTGGGGATTGCTAGGGGTGGGGGGGTGGTATAAAGGGACTAAATAGTAATGGAAAAATAGTATAAAGATTAAATAAAAAAATAAATAAAATTTCAATGAAGCTAACCCTGATAGGTTGGCTATTTTATTTTATTGCATCATTGTTACTGACCTTGGGTTAGTCTACTGACTAATGTAATGTTTACCATTCCATCCGGAAAAAAAAAAAAGTGCATTTATGGCGCATGTCTTCCTGGTCACTGAACTTCCTTTCAGTTGAAGATCTCACTGTGACTATCTGCTTTGCTTTTGTGTGAGTTCTACTTATAAAGAGCTGTTATTTGAGTAGAAATCCTTTTTACAAAAATAACCATTGCAAGCATAGCTTAAATCTAATTGTAGGTTTTACTTTTGATGTGTCCTTTTCGTTCAAAAATGTTATTCTATATTTGGTAAAGACAGATCATATCATCCCTTGAACTAAAGTCTTAGGTTATTTTGAGTATTGCTGTCCTTTTGAAATTGTGTTTCAGTTCTCACAGTGTTTGCTTTGCTCTCATTACTGATGACCACCCTTCCTTAACATGTTAAAAAGTACTCATCCTGATAATATATCTATCTTTCCACCAAAGTAGTGTTATAGGAAATAAGACAGTGTTTTAGAAACAAAGAGACATAGTGAGGGAAAAAACGATCTTAGAAAAATTGGCTTCTGACAAGAAGCACAACCAAATATATTAAGACAGTAAAAAAACAGACATGTTGGCTTAACACCAGTTGGCATCTGCAAGATATTACGGGAAGAAAAGAGCCAGCCTTACACAGCTTTGAAAAGGAAACATAGTATGTTTTGCAAAATACTCTAAAGGAAAACTGACCTTATGCTTATTAACAGTAACCCCCATAAACATCTAAAATATTTCTAAACAAATTTATTCAGAAAGCATATCATTTTCAATGGAATAACATGAAGAGGAAAAAAAGGAGGAATTGGAAATAAATAGTTCCAAGGTTAGATGAAATGCATCTACCTCAAGTGAAATATAATTAAGTCGCTTGTATTTTGGAGCTGTTTACAAACAATGTTATAGTGAATATTTTTGTTATATATAGTTAATAGACTCCTGCTATTATTTTGGTAAGATTAATTCTCAAAAGGGAAATTTCTGGGACACTTAAGAACACTCTAAATTTATAGAGAAACTCTACACAGTGCTGTTCTAACTCAATGTGCATATAAATCACAAGGAGATCTTGTTACCACGTAGCTTCTGATTCATTAATCTGAGATGGGATCTGAGATTCTGCATTTCTAACAAGCTACAAGGTGATGCTGTTGGACCGTGGACCACACTCAAGTAATGAGGCTCTAAATCACAGCAAAATGTATTTCCAGTTTAAATGTCTGTCTGTATCAGTGACTGCGTGATCCTTTAAGGGAAATGTTGGGTGTCTAAACTACTACAGACCTCGTTACGTGTTTGCCGAACAAGTGGACGGGGGGTTGGGGGCAGTTATCTACCTCAGCAAAGTGTTATGAAAAAGAGTGAAAAGTTGTATAATCAAATTTATAATATGCTAAAATTGAGCATCTATCTTTTGACTTTATTGACAGGAACCTGATTAGGAACTGACATAGTAATTTTAATCTCCGTTCCTTCTTTTTTATATTATTATTTACATAAATGGTTTCATTTCAGTCCAGAACTGCTTTACAAACAATTAAAAGTTAATTAACAGCACTGCTTTAATTTCAAAAATG